ATAATATCGTTTTTACAATTTTGTAAAATATGATGCACTGTAAAATGCCCAATAAAATTTTTACGTTGCTAATAAAGTTAACTTTTTTATACACAGTAAACATGTTAAAGTTTCTCTGTATTTTGTATTGTGTTGCTTTATCTTATGATCAATGAAAATTGTATTTTTGAGATATTACTTGTTATAATGTTGTAATTTTAAAATTTAATTATGATTAGAGAATCTAACGTTTAAAAATTACTTAAAAAGCATTGGAAATGCAACGTCGTCAAATACAAATAAATGAGTATTGATGCTCGTTTGATTTCTAATAAGTTCCATCCCATATCCACATGTGTCTACAATACCATTTTATAAAATGAAAAAATAATTATAATAAAGATAATTAATCTATTATATAATCTTATAGATTATATTATCATTTATTTAAATTGTAATTATTCTTCTGAAAATGTCTTATTTCAGCTAATTAAATAAGGACTGTCAAGGGCGCCAACGCCTGCCACTATCCCGCCTTCATCTTCGCTCGATATTTTGGTTCTTAAAATATGTCCAACTTGTTTATTTAACATTATCTCATTACTATCCCTAGAAATAGAACAGAGTATTATATAAAAATGCTATTAATGGCATCTATATTTATTAACAAATAATGTGATCGTTAAAATGCAAGTGCTTACCCTACTATTACTCCATATATGCCAAGTTCTGTTATAATATCCGATAGATCAGCGTTATCTTCTAATGACGATTCTTCAGCAGCACGTATCAAATAATTTTTTTGTAAAGGAGGGTAAATGCGATCCATGAGAATCCACGCAGTTCTCTCTTGCGATTCCTTCATCGAATTTAACCACGTCCTTATATTCTCATTATATACATTATTCCCACCTCCTTCCCTTTGTGGCTTGAGAACAAACTTGTTTGGGTCATTTATACCCATTTTTACTGCCTTTTCTCCATCATCATTCTGTTATTAAAATAAATACATTATTTAAATTAAAAAATACTGTAAGTTACGATCGATGTAATTGTTAATTAATTAAGTACTATGATGAAATGATAAATAGATTACTTACAAAATCTAGCGTATATAATCCAGTAAATATTTCTTGCACTTTAGCAACAGATGCATCATCTTTTAGAAACTTTTTCAATACACTAGGCTGAGCTAAAGATTGTTGTACCTAAAAAGATAATTTTCAAAATTGAAATATTTTTCAATTTGTAATAACAATGGATATATGTAATGTTATGAAATTTATTTCAGCAACGTAGAAAAATTAAATGTTTTTGCTTGCTATTATTTCAATGTTTCATACAACTTTTGTATAGTAAAAAAAAAATTTGATTTATTACTGGTCACTTTTGTTTATGTGCAAATAAAAGTAACACAATTTACATACTTTTTTAGTACCTGCTAAATGATATTGCACTGATGGACATTTTATTGCACAAGAACACTCTATTAACATTCTAATCTCCCATTCTTTTTCTGTTGGATAAGCCTCGAGTTCGTAACCTGACCGATAGTAAACTACAGCCACTACCATGTTTGAACTGAAACAGTTGAAATGATATAAATATCTCAATGGTTGGATATTTCAAATATCTATATTATTATTGAAAAAAAATCTTTCTGTTTCAAAATATTTTATATATAAACTTTGATATAATTTATAATATAAATTGTAATTAAAGATTGCAACTTACACAATTAATTCTTTATTTGGTCCCAGTTTCACTCCTTCCAATGCTAAACTTGTTAAACTTCTTCTGATGATCTTAATTTTAGGACATAATTGACGAATTTCAAACTCATGAAGCCTTTGATCGCTTATATTATAGGTCACATCTTCAACAATAAACAATATGATAGCCCTAAAACATATTGTTTGTTCATCAGTTTTAATTTATATGGAACATAAAATTTAGAACAAAATCTACTGTTTCACTCAACTTACTCTGGATTATTATACAATTCCCATGCGAATATTAATCCTTTGCAAAATCCCGTAAGCGCATTGTTTTCTGGAATCTTATAAATAACATAATTAATAAGCTATAAAAATATTTCAATATTACAATATTAAAGATAATGAAGTTTATATATAAATTACAGCAACAACAGGCAACATATGTAAACAGATGTTTTTCAAAGATATAATAGACAATTAATTTACCTGTTCGCACGCTTTCTTTCTGTACCCCAATTCTCCTAATATATACCTATAAAATAAATACATTTTCATTAAGGATATATAAATTAGAAATTTTTCAAAGGCAAAATTTTTCCAATAAAAATTTTCACATTGCACTTACTTGTGATATTCGGATGTAACGGTAGCCAAGGCCGCAAAGCTAGTCGCTACTGTATTTATTTCTACTTGCTTTATCTTACAGCCATCATCGTGTAATAAATAATCTGACCTCAACAGTCCAAGGCTTATACTCTGTAAATATAATGAAAAAAAACTTGTTTTTACATTTTTGCACAATAGTTGATTGCATCAGTGATCAGATCGTTTCATTGACATCCAGACATTAACCTAGAGATATGTTATTTAAAATTACATACCTGGCTAAAACCTTTCTTGTATACTGTCTCATATATGTGAAACAGCTTCGCCGTAAACGGATCAGCTTGGACTGTGCTAAATCAAATAATATGTAATGTATAATTCTGTAACATGATAAGGAAAATTTCCATTACCGCTGTGATTCTAGTAACGGTACCTTTTTAAGCTGCTTGTAAGAAACTCCTTATCGTGGGCAACCTTATGAATAAGCTCGTTCAATAAAGTTTGTACATTTTTCACAGTTAGAAAGGGCTTCCTGGGAAAACTCGACGGTAACAGTGTGACAGGTAGTACCTGTACCTGGTCCTTGTTGAAATTCTTCCTGGATCGTATGGATATCCCTAAGATGACAAGACAAGATCTCGTTACGTAAATCTGCGTAATCACCTTGAATCGTTGCAGTTATTTTATATTTGCATCACTGCCTTGAACTCTTTATGCTTAAAAAACTATAAAATATAGTGACAGCAACCATTGTGTCTGTAGTAGAGATATGACTTAAAATCTTATCACGGGCAAGATATAATTATCATATGGTCGTATAAGTCAAGTGTCGTATAAATATAATCGTACATTTGGTTATCAGCAACATATTTCTTATCAGTAAAAAGGACTTAATCACCATGCATAAGCGCCCAATCCTTCGCTTTATCCACGCTCTCCTTCAGCTTCTCCTTCGGGAGAGGAAGCTGGATACAGGGTTCCAGTCGACAGGCGTTCATGACGAAATCGAAAATTGAATCGGACAGTAATCTACGCTATCGTTGTCATTCCCAAGCCTCTGCTGTAAACGTCAACAGTGCTCGACCGCTCGACACGTTCCGTTCCGACCTTCGGTGTTCGCATGCGATAAGATGACAAGCGATCACGGCGTCATCTCTCGTCGAATTTGATAATCGAAATGACAGAGAGCGAAGGATAAGATAAGAAAGGAATCTTTTTTCACGCATGTATGATGTATGTATGTATGTTACATACATTATCGTATACGGAACAGGGTAATGAAAGGAAAGACCACGGCACGTCGTTATAATCACGGTGCCTCTAATTAATTTCTAATTAACAAGCGATACACCAGAGATCGCGGCTGCGGTAGGAAAGGAACACCGTTAATTGAGTATTTGGATTAATTAATTTATTAATATTTAACAGACACTTAATTTAAAAAATTAGGTTAAAATTTTTGGTTTAAAACCTAAACATTTTTCATGAAATTGTGTCATTTGTATATAAACGACGGCCAGTGGTAGTCAATATATCAGATTAAATTCGTTTCCCGTCGATTCGAATGTAAAACGCCGCGATCGTCATTTCCGGTTTCTGAAGTTGCGAAGTAATAATACGCGAGTCGTCGGATCGAGATACACGGAAAGCCGTAATATATATATACGTATAACGATTGTTTGTTGATAGCGTAAATCATCTTGCAGAATTTAAGCTTTCAAAATACATCGCGGGGACAGTGCCGAATCAAGTGAACGATCGATTATGTACGCGGGTCGATCTTTCGATTAATCGTTAACTTGACTCGGTCGTATATCGTGCGTGGCGTCGTTTCCGCCATTGTGAGTACGACGCGGTCGAGCGAGTCGCGGCTCCGCGCGATCAAGCGCGATCTATCGCTGTAATTTGTTCAATTCGCACCTTCGTCCTTTCCTCGCTGCGCGATGAAGGCCGCGTTCCGATATCGTTGTCGATACTGAAAATCTGTAGTATACCTAACGTGATCCATAGATTTTCGGTGCTGGCAGTATGTGTCGGAACGCGTCTAATGTCGCGGCTAAGTCGTTCGTGTGATGCCGCGCCGCGATATCAGTTCGGCGAGTATCGTACGAGTGTTTTGTGTAAGTGTGTGTGTATGTGTGATGCAGTCGAGTGCCATGGAGGACCGGCAACGGAGAGGAGTGACAAGAGCGGGGAAGGAGGCCTGGGAGGCATCGGGCGACGGCGGAGCAACCACGGGTGAATAATTATTTCGTCGTTGTTTGTTGTTCTACAATGGATTTAACCACCTTAAAATCCCTCGACACAACTGATTCTCTAATACTGAGGCATATAGATTTATCATTGGCACAAAATGCCTTTGGATAATTCTTATAAACAGATATCTAATTAAGGAACGATACAGAGAATAATTGCAATTACTGCTAATTACGTTACGTATTTCAATTAATTTGTCTGCGTAATGAATGTATAGAAAATATGTCGATTGAATAGTACGATGACAGATTCGTCAAGTGAACTTCGTGCGATTGTAGGATTAATCGTGCAATTATTTTTTTATAAATTTATAATGCAGACAAGTAATTAAAATATGCGGTTACATTGTCAGTAATTGCGTGAATATTTTTTGCATTAGAATTTTTATCTAAACGTTTGTTTTAAAAATAAATAAAAAATTTGATGCGTTCAACGATTCATTTTTTAAATATTAATTATTTCGGACGCTGCTTTAACTTGAATTTATTTGTGTGTTACAGATTAACGTTCAAATTCCGCTGCTGCGCATCACCTGTAAGTGAATAAATTATTTCTTATTTTAATCTTGAAATAATAATGCGTGCAGCAATCTAGCTGCAACTAATTTATGAAAATTATATAAAATATAAAATAGATGTATACATCGAGGATATATGAAATTTTATAAAAGAATCGCGAAGATTAAAATTTTTTCTGTGACGATTATTATACGTCAGATATATTTATTTATATATATATATACTTATGTATCAAAAATACATAAAATGAATATATATTTGTTTAAATGAGATAAAGATAAATATAGGTTAATAGAACTAGAAATAGGAAGGTAAAAAACATTATTAGTATTTAACTAACAGTATTATTTTATTTATTTTTCTCGATAATTCTTGGTGAAGACTAGAAATTTATTTTTTAACCAAAAGAATGATTTCTTTTAATTTATCTTTTTAATATGTTAGCTATCACATATATTTCTGCCCATTTTTCTATATTATATTATATTCAATACATCTTAAATAAATAATTACTATCTTGACGTAAAATGTACATAGAGTATTAGTAATTATAATAATTGCCATAATTGGAAACACTATTTTGTAAATATTAAATTATGTTAATGAATGATTGCATGATTGATGACTATACAATTTTTGACTAACGGCGCTTAGCGTGCAATTTATACGAAATTGCTAAAATTTTGGATAGATTCCATCGGTGATTTGTTATACGGTTTATCTTGTCCCTTTGTTACGCCGTGTATTGAAACAGAATCGCGGATGGTGTGCGAATAGGTATTAATCTTTGATCGCCGTAACGATCCAGCACGACGTAATAATCGCGTCCGTTAATGCAGTGTTTCTTTCCTTGAGCTACGTCGTGCGTCTGACGGCCGTTCGGATACGACGGTCGCATGTCCTTCTGCAAACCGTTCCGCTTGTCGAGCTGACTCTTCGTGGTGTAGACCAATCGCGAAGTCACGGTGTCCTTCGATTTCCGTTTCCACTTGCAGGAGAACGTGCGATCGCACGTCGATCTGCCGGTCTTCTTTCGCCGCTTGTAAGAGTTCGCCATCGATTTAATTGCTATCTCGAGAAGGAACACCACTATCGCGATTATATATCCGGCGACGACCACTTCGAACGTCAAGGATAGATCGGTGAACGATAATCGTCTTTCGCTAGACCGGAGATCCAGCGGGCAGATCTGCGCGATCGGTAGACTCTTCAGCTTCTCACGCTTTATTATACCGGACTCCACTAGAGTCATCAGTCTAAAACACGTTCAGTCTTTTCAGATTTAATTGCACGGCTAATGATATATCATTAAACAGCTCAAAGGATACGCAAGCATAATTAATGCATACATTATTAATAATTATTAATAATTAATGTAGTTCCATTTGACCATTAATTTTTTTAATTAAAAAATGTTGGATCAAGAAATTGACTCTTTTAGCATAAAAAAAATTCGTCGCTTACTCTTTATTAAACGGTTGCTCCAAAGTAGAGTTTATGGGGAAGGCGAATGCCTTATTGATCACGAGAATCGCATTGGGCATAATGACGTATGTACATCTCTTCTGATGCTTCAGGTGTTTGCGAGTTTTGTTGATATAATCCTCGAATATCAGACTTTGGAGGTAATGGGTTTCCCCGAGGAACAGTTTGTCTAAAGATTAATACGTGTGTTTTTTTATCTATTATTAATGCGTGTCCTCGAGATTTGACGTTAGAGTATAATACTCACTCTTATCTACGGCGTTGAAAATAGCCTTAATCGGATACTCGTACGACGTGATGTAGTGGCCTTTCCATCTTGTGATATTTAAGGAACTTAATTCTTCCGTATCGTTGAACTGAAAACGTAAAATAAAAAATGATAATTAAGCTTTCTATTGATTATTTTAATACTTTATTGATCGTAATAGAATTCGTGTATCTAATGCTTGTAACAGCTCTCTTAATGGCTCTTTTAAATCGTGAAAAGACATGAGTCATTTGGTAAAACTGTGTGATAGTAATCTGTTGAATTCTGTCTTGAAAAAGATTAAATGCATGCTTGCGAGGAGGACTCACATCAGAAAGCAAGAAGTCGAGCGTGCGCCCTTTATAAGTGACCCATTGGTAACCTTTACGCACTATATCTTGCACGCTGTTAATCGGCAAGGTAAACTGTGGCTTCGTGAGAAACGCGGTAAGATTCGCCGTGTAAAAAGACGTCAGTATCAAAATAAATATCCACCATGTGGCGAACAGAATCCGCGTCGAGTCTGCAACCGGTGTAAATTTGTTTTTTAATTCGATAACACGTATAGTGATAATTATGTAATAATTAGCATACGTCGTCGAGCGTCAGTAATAATCTACATAAATTATAAATCGTACTAGTTGAATGTTCCTGTTTTTTATTTGATTCATATTGTATCACGAATTAAATATAGAGGTGCATAAGTCGCTGTGTACAACAAATGCTAACTCTTCAGGGAATATATGGGTCGCTCGCGTACATAAGACGTGTGACAATCAAGATGTCACGAAGACGAGTAGGGCAGTCTAGTACCTGTCGTCGCGATTATATTCGTTCCTTGTTTCAACAGCGAGCTGTATACAAACCATATACAAGAGAGAAAGGTGTAGTTCTCGGAGTTGGGGTCCTTCCACAACTTCGCCCTACGAGATATTAATAATTATTGAGAACTAGGGCGTTCATAACGCACACTGTGAATTTTCTTTTTTTTTTTTGCTCTCTCTCTTGTACCTGAACGTGGCGAAGACGTAGATTACGGGTCCTACGGAGACCACCGAGGCCAGCACCAGCAACCAAACGGTTTGGTCGAACGGCGCGAGCAGTCCCGAACCGGTTGCTGATTCTTGCGGTCGCTTCATCAACGCCGTCAGCTCGCCTTGCTCCAGGGTCGTACTGAATGTGCAATACTTCCGCAACTCCGGCAAAATAGGCAAGAAGGCCACCGCCATGTCTACCTTCTGTTTGAATGAAAAAGAACGTATTCATATCTATATCATTTCCGTTCCCTCGTAATTTATACGCCAATATTGCTCGGTCAATTTTTCCTTCTACCAAAAATTCCGTCTGTATTCGATTATATTTAGACATTAAAAATAATTAATTAATCGAGGACGATTCGTTAGCCGGAGGAAAGAGCACCTTACCTTCTCGTAAAGCAAATTCAATATTCCGCTTTGGCTGTTGCCCAGCACGTGCTGCTTAGGCGGCACGATCGTGTATGTGAAATTTAATTTGGAACTAAGCAGCTCGAGCAAGTAAAACGCGTAGCCTTTTCCCACCCACGTCCCATTCTCCTTCACTAGTCCGGAGAACGGCATGTCCTACAACAATTTCACATTTTCGTAATTAAGGTTTTCTTAGAAAATTGCGGTCTTTATAAATTAACGATATTATATTTAACACTGAGATGATAAGTGTGCAAATTTTCCAAGTTTTCTCGGAATGAAACGAATGTTCTCTATAATGTAACGTTCGTTAATTTATAAAGATTGTAAATAATATTAATTATATTAATAATTAATATTCAATCTTAAATAATCTGAGATAATAAGTGTGCAAATTTTCCAAGTTTTCTCGGAAAAAAACGAATGTTCTCTATAATGTAATATTCGTTAATTTATAAAGATTGTAAATAATATTAATTATATTAATAATTAATATTCAATCTTAAATAATCTTATTGCTTAGAGTAAAGAAAAAGAGCAATTATTTTTTGGCGAGATTACATCTGACAGCTGATTATTCAGTGTGCATGGTTTTTTTTTAGACAATTGAGTACAGTATTGCTATCAAATCCCATAATGATGTTTAGACGATGTCTGAGCACCCTCAACGACGTTTTAATTATCCTTGCGCGTTCATTATCGCGACGTTACGATCGTTTCGTGCGCGGCCAGTTGCGTACTCGACTCGAACGTTTGTACATTTTAATGTTCGATATCGGGCTGCACGAACACGCTAATGAACGCTATGAAGATTGCAAGATGCGCGACGTATATCGGGAGATATATAGTGGCAAAGCCGACATAATATTTATTATTAGCCACGATACTTGCGTAATACAACGGCCCTAACAGCTCGGTTACTCGATTAGCGTTCTTTGTTTACCGCGTCACGCAAAACACGCGATGCCGTTTTTGCCCAGGGAGGTATTATTCAAATTCTGACTACACGTACAGCCGTTGAAATAATTATCCGCTTACCCTTTCTGCACCGCGAATTCAAGACTCTTTAACATCTTTTTATGTTCTGATCTATGAAAATAATTAATTTTTTCTCCAATGTGCTCGAATTTTGTGTATTATTTAGAACGAGTTAATTATTTATAGGCGAATAATGGTACATAATGATAAATAATTACTACATAATCATGCAAGTGGCAATTTCATAGAAAATTGTTTGCAGAAAATGTAGTATATTTAAAAATTGGCTTGATGAAGGATATATACAAGTCACGTGCAAAGTATGTTGACTATTTTACACCGTCGCGTGTTCTGTCTTTGTAATTCTAGGTTTTTCACATAGCCAATATAGAAAAGTAGGACATTTTGTCGGTGATCAATAAATCATGCTGAGCGGATTGTCATTTCAAACGAGACACGATAATAGGTATTTTTCTTTTTTGGTAATCATTTGTGCATTATTCGTTGTATTTCCGCCTTAGTACGCTATACGTACAAAACACACATATAAAAAATTAACACAAAAATTGAATATCTTATTAATTAAAGTTCGTAAATTTGTACCGAAGAAGACAAGTTTAATATTATTATTATAATAATAATATTAATGCGTTTAGCATACGCATAAGCGCAGTTACAAATGAATAAATGATTCATAAATGAAGTGCGTGAGTTTTCTTTTACTGCACTGGTATAAGCGTAGCCGTAAACATTTTTTTTCTGTTGACAATGTCGTATCTATATCGTGATATTTATCCCTATCGCGCATCAAGTGAACTCATAAAAATGCGCACTTAATGTCATCATGAAGGATGTAATATAAAACAAATATCGTGCCACTGTATAAGGTGCTTCATCGGTATACTTATATTCAATTGCTACTATTGTGACTATGCTATTGTTTAAGAAATTCAATCGTTATTCGATTCTCGATTAACGATTAAATTTCGCATTTTTGCGCTAAAATATCTCTCGTACAAGTTTAGACTTGAATATACGATGAAATAAATATTATACGTTGATCCAAGTAGAAATTATTCTGTTCAATTAATCAATTAAACGTAACACTATTTCCAAACTTTTTCGGAAAACTCTATCCTCAAAGTTTTCGGAAGACTTCAATACGTTGCGTTGACATGCGCAAATAACGTTAAGTTAGTCTTCATTATATCAAACATTTCGTCGCTACTCCCTCTTGATGTAACAGTGACCAAATTAAACGTCATTTTGTCCTCGGGCAAAGTAAATAGCAAAAGTTCTTGCTACCAGCTTAGTTGCTTTGCACATATTATTTGGAAAGGAATTTGCTTGTGTACGCCTAGAAATATGTACACGTGCGTAAATATGAACGCACTAAATTTTTCATCAACCGATTTCATTTTTTTCTTCCGCAGATTAAATGTAATGCTATAAAATATTATTTTTTATTTCAATCGTGAACATTTATAACTACTGTACTCACGTTCCAAGATGTTATTTTCATTTCTGCAGGTATCGTTGACTTTACGGAATTTTGTTTGTCGGTTGTCGTATCATCTGAAAGCATAATATTGTCTTTCGTAATTAACGTTAATGATACATCAAACTGCAGGAAACGCGTTCCAAGTTTCTAATTTGACGTGGTGTTGTCCTTGATATTCATTAATAGCAAGCTTACAGTTCTAATATTAAAATATAATCACTCAGGTAAGTAATAAACAAATCAAAAGTATTACCAACAGTAAGAAAAGAAAAATAAGTAATTAATTTTTTAACACATAATTACTATTTATTATTTGAATAGAATGATCTTTGTGAAACGCTTTCTATTTGCAGTTATCTATTTAATTTTTATTCTCGCGCAGATTCTCAGCTTTTTAGCAGGAATGTTTTTTTATAATGAATAATCGCAAACGTGTGAATTTTAACGAAGACCGAATTAAACAATTAGCTGATTAGCTTACTTACCATACGGACTACCGTACGTGATGCAATAACACGTCGCGAATATGAACGTGCCGAATGAAAATTGCCGGAAGCTGCGCATTCTTCGATGGGTGTCCCCCTTCCGACTACATCTTATCCGTGGCGCATCTTCATCAGTGGATCGTCCCGTGGCTCTCCTGCGGCCGGAAGTGCTTTGTGCGACGCGGCATAACCGGCAGTCAGGTGAATCGATACTGACATTTCAGTCATCCTGACCCGGACGACAGTAAGGTAGTGACGAGCCGTTTTATGTCAGCATGTCACGCGACCGTCGAAAGTGTGTCCACAGGGGGGAAAAAAAGGGGCTGACGGAAACCCCGACGCGACGTTCTGTACGCGCGGGCGCGCGCCGTCAACCCCCGGCAGTAACCCGCGCGGCTTTATCTTCTCGGAGATTCTATTGGCCCTCGCGGTGGTTCATCATTTCGCTCATTTTCACCGAAAACGTGCGTCACTTTTACTTCGCTGACCGTGAAAATCAGATGCGACAACTGATTATCGGGCGCACACACAATTCTAGACCTGTTGTTCTAGACTGTGTTTTTAACGGTGTTTTTAACGTGACATCGGATGATGTATTTTACATCTTACACGTGATTGATGAACAGAAGAATTTATAGTAAACTATTTGTGGTAATTATTTTGTGGAATTATATTCTCGTTACGAAATCGCCAGTTTCACAAGATGGTCCAGTCTTTTAAAAATTTGGAGACCGAAATGCGCGTAATTATAAGCTACTTTGAACGTGATAAAAGCCATGTCATGTCAATTTCAAGTACTTTCTTGGAGACAAAATTCAGAAGATACCATCTACTTTCTATGAAATATGATTAATAGATTATCTCTTTTGAAACTCTTTCTGTATGTGAAAAACGGATGAATATCTATCGGGACGACAATGGGATGACAAAGAAAGCAGCAAAATTTTCTATATTATTTGATTGCGATACTGAGTGATTGATCGGCAACATTAAATATCACTAGAGAAATAGACACGTGTACCATTTTGTCACGCAAGTTATATCTAATATTTCACAATTTTCTATCGCAATGCTATCTTGTCTTTAACCTTCTAACTACGGAAATTATCTGATCCGACCTCCAAGCAGCGGACAAACGCGAAAAACACACACGATTTTAAATCGATCAAATTTTTTTTTTATCAATCATTCTTTGTTTGGAGAAACACTTATCGTGCCGTCGATCACGCGAACCGGATCTTATGTAGTTAGCAATAATTATCGATTGTCTTTCTCGCGAAAGAGTTTTCCAGAGATCTTATAACAATATACGGTAATCAGCAATTCTTTATATAATATTTCAGAGATAAACCCGCGAGATTAATGCTCGCGGACGTTCGCGGATGTAAAGTGCTCGTGAAAGTGTATACGTTATATCAGTCGGCACGAAGGTTGCGTTAGGTCGTGCGCGATCAATATACGCACCATTAGTAACATTAAGCAAGTAATCGTGTGAATCATCTGTCAGAGGAAATTAATAGTGATATTATTAATAGGACGTGCACATTCCGTGCCGTATAAAAGTCTAACGCCAAGTAGAATTGAGATCATTGAGATTAATCGCGCACTCCCGAATGCTGCTGGAAAGTGGAAAGTCGAGGTGTGGGTTGGGTGGAGAAAATCAGAGAGAACCAGGCTTCTTCTTCTTTTTGGAGAACGATTTTCATTGTTTACCGTTTTAAGTTGAAGTACTTACATCTCAATATACAAATCACATCGCCTGTGCCCTATGAAATAGTAGTAGCTATATATCGCCGCTCCTCTCGCAGGAGCGTCTTGAAGTTCGTCTCTTGTTTCGTAGCAAAGGGGGCTTACCGCGTCTCTCTCTCTCTCTCTCTCTCTCTCTCTCTCTCTCTCTCCGCACCGAAGGACGTGTTGCGGCGAGGGCGAGAGCGAGGCGGAGAAGGGCCGAGACACGGGACTGTATAAACAGTCTATTGACAGACAATATGGGGGAATATCGGAAACGGATATTCGTTTATAGTATACTTCGCGTATCTCGTTTCGCATCAATCACGCTGTCCGAATATCCCTCGCTCCACCAGCCGGTCGGTAGACACGAAGCTATCTAGCATCTGTTTGATTCCTTGCACGTACATATCTTCTGATATCGGTTGTTCGGATATAGTTGATTACCTAACCGTGCGCTGTCAGAGATTTTATCCGTCGTCGTTTATACGTCTGATTTTTCGCTGTCTTCATCGCGTCTCTCGGCCCCTCGCTCCTCTCTTATCCTCTCCTATTACAGTCATCGCGCGAGGGAGATTGCCGAAGCTAAACTAAAAAGGACGAGAAGGGAGGAAGGGAGAAAAAAAATAAGTGCGAAAGTAGAACGCGGGAAGCGCGGTCGAAAATGCGCTCAAGCAAGCTCGGCAGCAACGTTAGCGATGTATATATAAATCACATCTCGTTATGACGATAACACGGGGTAACGGGGGGGATGAGGAATATGATTAAAATGATCATGACTGTGGCGCTAATGCTGCAAATGGAACATAATAATCTCGATGATGATCAATAATAAATGATTACGGTAATTGGCATCTAATCAATAACTTACGACCTCGGCGGTTATAATCACCTTGTCGCGTTATTCAATGAGAGATCTGGCGACGAGTAGGCGAGGAGCGCGCGTATAGAGATGGATATATTATGGACTGGTACAGAGAAAATTCGGTGAATCATAAATTCGAAAAAGATTTCATAAATAACATTACTAACATACTTACAAGGTTTTTCGTCGAGATTAAAGGATCTACAGAACGATAAACGATAAAATAATTTTTCAAATATTTTTTTTATATCTTCAAGACGGAAAACATATATTTAAAAAGATATGAATTATATAAGTAAAAAGAAACTCATGCATAAAATAAAAAAGATTCGTTTTTGGTAATAATGGCCAAGTATACACTCGATTTTTCGAATTTGCCACGTTTGCCGAACTTTCCTCGCGAATCGCGACGAAATGGACTGCGTCAACTTATTTCGGAGAGATTAGCCGTTCGTTATTCCTTAGCAAGTCTGTAGACTTATCTACGATACGGATAGAGATTCGGTTAATCGAGATAAGCGCTAAAACAAGTTTGGTGATAAAGCATAACAATATAATATATGTCGGAATAAAATGTGCTTTTACACTAGATATGCGTGACGAGGTAAATGGCATGCGATTTAGAGATCACTCAATACGTAACGGAAAGTCAACACTGTCGGTAAAAAACAAATAGATATTAAATGTGAAACTTCTCGAGCGAATGATCGCAGCGGCGAGTACACCGTTTTTTTAAATTTTTTTTTTTACTTTTTTATGACGTTTGGTTCATGGCGCGTCTGGTTTAGTCATCTCAAGTTTTTCTCCTTCGACACGCTTATTCATTTCATCCACTTCCTTTTTTTTTCTTTTCATGCGTTCGGACCTAAGATCAGCCGCCAAAATCAGATTTGGGCTTGTATTCATCGTATTACCGTGTACGTATTCACACCCTCACTCAATAAAATTATTTCTTTACTACATACGCTTGTATTATCGAAATTATCGAAAACGTAAATGCCTTTCGAGGTAGGACGGCGGACTCGTGATCTTCCCGGTGCTGCGAAGTTTTTTCGTTTACACGCTCGTTATGCAAACGCGAAGGTGTGTTTTTCCCAGAAGCACGTTTCGTGCCTCTAAGTGAGCCGCGGTATCGTCGTATGCGGACGCAACAATTCTCCAATCGCTTATACCTGGCAATCGAATTTAACGAAATAATTCAGTGTAACGATAAAGTAGATCTATAGGCGATTGGTCTCTTTTAGATAAAAATTTTAAAATGCTCAAAATAAATATTGCAAATTTTGGATTTGTATCACTTTTGCACTGACAAGTCAATATCTAAGACTGTCAGATTCTTCTGCACAGTTGATGTATCGATAATGATTGATACTGAGTTGTATTGATATTGAATTTGATTATGCATTCCGATAACGAGCGATATAATAATTTGCATGCTGGAACTTCTCGATTGCGCGTTACCCCGGTCCTTTCCTCGAAGGTTAATCATTGGGAATACAGGTTCTACGAATAAGAATAATATCACCATATACAGTACAGTCGTAGATACCCCTTGAAATCGTCACAGCCTCTGGTAGATTAAAAATAACGCAAGCTACACAGGATTATAGTATCCTATTAAATTCAGCAATTCGTCAACGACGGTGGCATCGCGTTTTTTTTGCGTCGCCGAGCGACGATCTGCCGCCGTGTTTTCGCTCCCGGTCAAACGAATCTGGAATGCGATATTAAAAAAAAAAGAGAAGGAAGTTACAGTTACGAGAAACTGAACTATTTGAGCTGTTCCTTCTGTGCTTTGTCGCCAAAAATCACCATGCGAGTGAGACAGTAACCTTCCGATAATCGCGAAAAGATTTTCCGACGTTTCTATAATCGCGAAACGGTTCGCTTACTTGTGTACGCATATACGCAAAGTAGTCAAAAGTGGACACGCGAAAACTCTCGCGGGTTAAGAGATAAAAATAAGAAAATATAAGCGTAAAAATAAGCGAATATATTCAAGTGCATTTATATAGATCGAGGAATCTCGAGTTACGCGCGAGAGATCTCCCCTTGATGCTGCCTGATTAGTGAGCGAAAAATAAAGGGAAGCTAATTTAATATTCAAATCCAAGATCGATTTCGTCGGACGAGGCAACCATGAAGTCGCGTGACATGCACGTTCTCCATTTTTCACGTGCGTCGCACGATGATCGCCCACCGTAATTACGCGTGATCATACGTCAGATACGCGCGTACAGATCGCGATTGGTTCCACCTTTTCATTCAATGTCGACTCTTTTTTTCCCGATTAAACTTTCGCAGGCTGATCAGGCAAATATAGGACGTAGAAGCTGCTTCTTTCGACAGAAAAAGTGTGATAAAACGTTGCATTCAATACGATTTCGAGCGGTATAAATACTTAATTCGAGTGGCGTTTTTTGGAGGAATCATTAATATTTTAAATTCGTAGTTTTTAAACGTTCTCGATTGCGCGAATACTTGTCTATAAAACTTATTTTTGTTTCGTCAAATTACATTTGCAAAGAGAAAAGACTTGTTTCTTACGTATTTTATAGCTGTAGACAAGGCAGAGCAAGCGAAGGAAGAACCAGTTAAATTTGGAATAAATATCTAGGATTTGGAAAGAGAGAAAAAATTAAATTAGATCAAAATAGACTTTGCTTCTCTCGACTGTCTTTATATAATCCATTATTGCAAATAAAGCGTCTAGCAAACATTTTTAATTGTAAAAATTATTCCAATTGCTGTCGGGCAAATGTTGTTAATTTAAAAGAAGCACAATTTCTGATGGTCATCTTCCAAGATTATATGTCGGTCTCCTGATGTCTTTCCTCCGCTGTTCCCTCGTTCACATAGAAATTAAGGAGAAGAGGATACAAATCCTGCGCACGACCATGCGTTAAAAAAGTCAGTTCCATCGCAGATATATAACGTAAATGAAATCGATATACACAATTATCACGAGTCAGTCTCCAGCGTGAGCGATGATGCGGTTTACCGGTCAATTTTCCAACGTGTGTACCATACGTAATGTGGTATGTGTAATGTATGTCCCTCTATGTGTGTGTACGTGTGTGGGTATATGCGCGTGGAGGAGGGCTATGTGTGTGTCTGCACAAAGAGAATTTCTTTTTAAAATTTACTCTAAAAATTTTGTTAATCGTGGACAGCATAGTATTTTGACAAATTTTACTGCACACTACAATAAATTTGTTGTAGTATATATTTAAAAAAAATAGTAAAAATCATATAAAATTCAAAATATATCAATGTCAAAATACCATATAATCCTACAATTAACATGATTTTCAGAGTAAATTTTAAACTAAAATTCTCTCCATATGGGGGAGATTATTCGGTTTTGCATGGTGATCGAGCAGTAAAGCGGAAGTCGAAGGGTTATCGGTTACCGGGATACGAGCGCTTAGCGCGTGGGCGGCGCTTCTGGGGGGCCGCAGTAGCTTGTCAGTTCGAGTATCGTGCACCCTCTGAGGCAGCACTCCTCGTGGATGCCTCTAGGATTCCTGTGGTAGCGTCTATTATCGAAACGTCTTTCGAATAGCCCCTGCAGTACTTTCGTTCGCGGCAGAAACGGGGGAAGCTCGTAGGTGACCGGATAATCGGCCATTTCCATCTCTGAAACAAAAATGAACGTGTAATGATGTGTACCAAGTGATATTTTTCACTTCAACACACCACAATTTGAAAAATTAAATTGAAAATTTAACATGTCTTTCGCTTCGTATAACATCTCATTCTCTCTTATTCTGTCCACTATGTGCCTCTTATTTTGCGCGTGGGAAAATGTTTGCGGGAAAAGTTTTAAAATTTTCGAAGAAGCTTCGCGAAAGTTTTCTCTCTAAAGTCATACCTTGGTTGCGATCGTAGTCAAAGTTGTTATCACTGCGACCTGTTCTCATCATTTCTTCTTGCGCTGTGAAAGAAATCAAAGTGGAACATTGTTTGAAGATCTCAAAACTTTCTTAATAAAAGAATTGAAGCGTTTAAGCATAATTTATACAAGACAAAATAAAATTTTTCGTCAATAAACAATGCAAAATATAATATTTTAAACGATTTTAAAAGATTATAAGCGTAATCAACGAAAGAGCCGTTAATTCTAATACACGTTTAGAATCAAATTGAAATAATGCTAATTTCATTTGTGCTATATTTGATAGCAATCGCGTTTTTGTTTGGTATATTTCACGTGTTTTTGAAAAGGAGACCTATTTACGTGTCACCTATGGTCACATTATTCGAGGTAAATAACGTGAATTTGCTTTCCACGATCGTCAATACCTAAATCGTACCGGCACATCTAGATCGCGATGCCAGATTATACGGATCTATTTGTTCGATTTATCGATTAAGCTTAGCGATAAGCCGTTTTATCGGATAAGCCCGAAAAAAATTTATGTAAATTTTCGCTGTAAATTTTTATGAAAGGGGGGGAGGGCAACCGCAAGTAAAGAACCGTCGTCTAAAAAATGTAATATCCCCGATCGGCGTATTTAACTAAGTCATTTGACGATTATGCGAGAGTGCGTCGGCTTATGATCCTACTCGGGAATACGTAATACGAGCTTACATGCATTATTCATCGGCGACAAAGTGGCGATTACTTGGTTAATTGCGGGCACAGATTGATCGCGTGCTTAATCGCCTTTTGTAAAATACCACGCTCGAGAAGCCGTTAAAATTGAAGGGTCCGACCGATAAAACGTTCCCTCGTAATCGGCGGGGCAGCGCGCGGTCTGTAATGTTCGCTTTAAACATGAGGTTGTATCTAAAGTGAGCAGTACAAATTATAGGCTGACCTCATTCTTACATTGAGCCGTTTAATTATACGTCCAGGGCAAATTAAGCCTCATTCATATCTCCAAACGAGTCACTTTAGATCCGCGAGGGTTTAACGTTACTAGTTAGTTGGGCAGCTCGAAATCAATGTATCTGTAATCGATATTTTCCTCCAAAATATGTCACGATATTCATCAAATCTATACGGATACTCATACTAATTTGGTTTATGTACTGGAACTACTAGAAGTATCAATGCCTCCATTATGATACACTCGCCGTGCCGCAGTGACATTAATCGAGAAAGAAGGAATGCGAACGGCATTAATATTAATGGCCGCATTACAAAGGCAAATTCCATTACGAGGCGGCTACCATCGAGAAATCTTCCTCAATATTATCCCTTAATTTCCTATTATTAACTTCCTGAATGTTATCGTTACGCTTGCACGCGCGCAAGAGCGTCATTGACATATTTCGGACGCGTGATTTTCCTTTCGCAAATCGTTTGCTGCACGAAATCAAGAAGTCAAAAGGCCAATAATAGCCATTTTCACGTCCACTAAAAAAATTATTATTTCATTCGCTATCGAATTTTAACGGCAAAATAAAGATGCATCAATAAACGATCAATCAAAAAGTGTTTAATTGTACCGAAATATTTTTACTTTTACTAGATATGATTATTTTATTAAATTATTTAAGCTAATGATTAAGACTTTATTTTCATGTAGACATGTATACAACTTGAAAATTAACGCTGAATTAAGACGTTTGTTAAGACTGAAATAATCATAGCGAATAACTGTTAGTTACTTTGAACTATTTACATGATTATATCAAGAATGAAATACGGTGCCTTTTGTGTCTACATATTTAGAAACATTACATAATTACTTAATCACGCGGAGAGAGAAACGTGAAATTTTGCGTTCAATAATGATCTGTTATTAGGATCCGTCTATTATTCGGTATTGATGTCGAAAACGAGCGAATAAGAAGCGACAGGTTTCCCCTTTAACTTAAAACTCACCTTGACCTTGACCATTCTTCTTAAACATGGCATTGTAATTGCCCGCACAGACTATCTGTAGAGCACTGGAGAGCCTCATGCCGCAATACTTGTGCTGGGGTTTTCTCGCGGCGGCTCGATTCTCTATTGATTCGTATTGGGAATAGCCATCCACCTGTGCGTTTCTTGATTCCGTCACAAGAAGCGCGACGGCGAGCATCAGGGTCATCAGCACGTTCAATCGATTCGCGGACATCTGAAAGTGATACCGTTTCTCGTTTAATTGCATCCGAGGAAATTGGATTCGTCATCTCACTAATGTTCATTCACTTTGCGATTAGACGACAAGTAGTGTTCCTTCGAACATGAAATTCTGAATTTCATGCGCGTTTATTTAAAAGTGATGGATAAAAATTGTGGAGCAGCGATCTATCGATGTCATCACTTTGATGTGCAGCCTTTTGAATAAGCGAGTAAAAATAAAGTTATCTGGGACGACAGATTGGACCAACTGTTTACTAAAATAATGTCTCATTATACCGGCATATATCTGACATTCGGACAAAGTTTACTCGACACCGATACTTGTTCGAACATACTTTTTTAGCCGTTCGTTTAAGCGACGATATAATTGGTAAAGCGTAGAAGCACACATCGTGTGATTCGACAGACCTCGCCGCATTGGGAAACTCGGCGTCGCGTCGGTTTTATCGGGATTAATTGACATGCCTCTCGCGTATTATAACCGCGACAGCGCGGCATTCCAGCGGTCGCGCAGGGTGCCTCTATTTTTAGATAAATCACTTAAATATAAATCTTGCGACGGCGAGGGAAAGAAAGGCGAGACAGAGAGAGAGGGAGGGAGGGAGGCAGAGAGAGGGAGAGGACGCGTACTCTCGTCCGCGGGTGCCGCGTAATCGACGCGTCGCGCGTCGCGACAGGAGTCTCCGACAGAAGAAGAGAAAGAGAAGCTGCCTCTCGCGCGCTTAATTGTCTGTAAAAGCGACCTTTGTTCACACGTTTGCGTCGCAGCACAATTACGATCTACTCCGCGATCAGGCGGACTGGTACACAGAGGTCCTTCTCATTCTTTCGTTATTTTATATAGGGGCATCACACACGTGTGTAACGCGAAAAGTCGACGATCGTTTCGCGTCTCTTCAGGTAATTTCCGTGGCGTCCGAATCCATCTCGTTGGAAGTAACTTTCGATTGCATTTCGCGAGACAACGAACAAAAAGGTAATTGCACCTGGCAGTATTTCAATGAGGTAACTTTTCATGTATGTCAGGTATATACACATGCACGTACAAAACACACACACACATACACACACAGAGATATGGCTAGGGTATTATCCTAGTTTGCGTGGGGTAGGTCATCGGGTGTTGCTGCGTCTCCTCGAAGTTTCACCAGCGCACCACGCTCTTGTGTCTGTGATAGGATTAGAACAATGTTGACTTGTTTTGCAGGCTACGTCGTATTCGATTAGTCGCGTTATCAGCTAAAATGGAAATAAGGCCAGCGGCCTTGATACATGAATGTATATGGGGGCTATGGTATAATACCGTATAATTTCGCAAAACATTAATTCTAGGTGATCTACAATACTTTTTGGAATATTATCGATGTAGGTTTACAAAAATTAATTGTGTGTTTATATAGAGAATAATTACATAATTAACAGAAATAATTATATAATTGAGAGTAGAAGTATAAGATCACTCCTTGTGAAATTTAAAATACATATTTAAAATATTATTACTTAAAATTATTACTTCCCGTGAAATCTTGATAAAATTCAGCTTTGAGAATTAAGATTCTAGCAAAATGTATTTTACATTGAAATTGACTTCTTTCTGCGGTCTCGAAGCATCACGAAAAGTCCTTCATTTCGACTGACTTACAACTCGATAGCTATATTAGTTCTCGACGTTCTCGCCATAAGAGAAATCGATTCCATGTGTTTTCAGTTCTAATTCTAGTAGAATATTGACTTCCATGTCAATATTATTTTTAATTACGTGTGTAGATTTCATTCGGCCGCTTTCAATCTATATTTTTGTTTAATATGCATAAACTTTGACGTTTCAAGGTTGACAGAATTTTATTCACGATCGATTGGCGTATGCCGTATCATTAGGTAAACGCGTACCAGAGTCATTGTCGTGACAGACACATTGGCTTGCCCCCTTCATCAAAACAAGTTACGCGAATATAGGGCAGACCATTTTTATTTCCGGCGCATCATGGTGATGAGAATTAGCTTTCAACACTAAGCAATAACCGAAGGAAACGGCGCGTGTTGATGTCGAAGTTATCTAACTCTATTTATCTTTTTCGCGCGATTAGTAGTAACGCGCGATGATGAAAACACGCGTGCAACACTTGTAATTCTTAAGTGTTGCTTCACCTCCTATACATTCAACAGATCGATCATTCATTTAGAACGAAGCATTTTTCGCTCCTCTTTAAATCGATTCATCAATTAGAGGAACTCGATGTTTTTTTTTTTATTATATCATTTGCTGGGTCGCAAGATTGAGAGTTTGCGCGGGAGTTCGCGAATCTTTTTTCGCAAAAATATATCCAGAATTGCCGGTTTAGTTCTCTCCCTCTCGTGCGTCGCGAAAAGAAATCGCGACGTCTGACGACCGACAAAAAATAGTACCCGGACGAGGTAAATAAGTGTGTTTGCGAGCGTGAACACAGGCGGTCGAGACTCGCGGTATCTCACCCGCGAAAATGATAAGCGCGGTCGCACACGCCGCCGACAGGCCACGTGAATAAGACAAATAAAAAAAAAAGAAGAGGCGAGATTTACCGACGAGAATTCGAGACGCCCGGGCACGGTGCACCGGAACATTCCGGTGCGGTGTCTTGTTCCACAACGCGATCATAATATTTTACGCGGAGCGTACATTTCCGAAAATTTCGCGTAATTCATAATTTAAATGTGTAGCGTGTGGTAATTTTCGAAATGCATTCGAGATATGTTCGAAGTTTGCGAGATATGCGCGTATCCTCGCGAAATGGTATTACAATCTTTCCTCATGGAGAAGAAGTACATTGATTTCATTGAATTGCGCACTACTTCACGTTTTGTGCGTGAGATACTACTGTATCTCGTATTACTTCGAATTCGCATAAAATGAGACCGAACAACAATTACCGTATCGATAATGTAACGCGTATATATGCCGTTCATTGGCTTCTCTCGTCCGGCACCTCCAACGGTTGTAAACACAGTACCGAACTACGTAGATCCTCCCGGCGTCTCTCTCGAGAGACGAGACGCGCATTTCACGATAGCGAAAAGTTCCGTAAATTGAAAAGAGGACTCGTTCCAGGGAGCGTCGTCTTGATCGCGACCCTCGCTTCCTCCACCTTCCATCGGGGCCGGTCTCTTTCTCCTTCGCTCCCGTGCTTTCTCTCTCTCTCTCTCTCTCTCTCTCGCAAGACCGGCGCGTTTCTATTTTTATCCTCGTCTTTTCTCTTGGTATTATCAGCGAAGTACCGCCGGCAGACACGAGTAATAAACACGTGTATATAACTCGGAAAGATACTAAGCGGGCCGCACTTATGCGCGCTCGAGGGAGCGCACTTATGTCCGAGTGCGAAGCAGCTAGGGGCGATCGACTTTTCCAATTAGAGCGCGATCGCGTATGCGGCAGAGCCAGAAAACTTTTCCATTTTCTGGCAAACGGACACACAGGTGTGAGAAAAATTCAAGCTGAACGCCCTCGGGATTCTGATTCGTCTTACTCGCGCCGTTCTATCGTCGCGAAGCTGCGCGGATTTCGATTGGCTTTGCAAAAATTCAAACTAAAACGTCGTACATTTGATATTGCCAAAATAAGGCCGTATTCACAGTTTCGATTCTTATTTCAAGACCATCTTAAGCTTTAAGATATCATAAGCCAATCAGAGAGCCGCATCTTTTAAGATATTACTTAAGACGGTCTTGAAATAAGAATCGACTATGAATATCGACCTAAGTCTAATTTTTGACACATTTATCATTTTATTTAATTAATCTTTTATTTTTAGCCTTCTAGTATAAACGATTGCGATCTGTAAATAAATTGAGTGTCATGACACAGGTCATTGGTGACTATTTTTGCTTATTTTGTTTCGTTATTTTATATACTATATACAGGAAGAGTTTATCTCGATCGACTTTCTTGAAATAGAAAGTGCGGGGAGAAAAAAAATTTACGGTTGTGAGAGAACGGAAAATCCATGCATCGTTTCGTTTCTAACTCATTAAAGATAAATATACAATATATATGTGTTTTAATTTAAGTCTTATCGAAACTTATCCGATGCGCGATTCTCTAAATGAGAGAATTACATTGTACCCTGATTGGCACATTGAGGCGCGACCCCGTATGAGACATTGATCCGAAGCGCGATTTGTCACGCGTACGATAACGATCGCGTATATGTACATGCAGGGTAAATATATAAACGACGTTTCGAGAGAACAAGTTTCCGAGAACGACGCGACTACGTTTGGTCGTGTCATAAGCGAAGACGGAAGATCGCCTCGGAATTACGGAATACGAAATATCGTATCTGACATTGCTAAGTAATTTAATCAATTATACTTCATTGCTTCGTACACCGGAATCTCGTGCAATCGAGCGAAGCGTAACGAGCGTCACGCATTTACGCGTTATAAATTATTGCGAAGCACGGAATAACGTAAAATGTAAAAAGATGCGAATCGCGCATCTTTTTCCGTGCAGGTCATCCCCCGACACGGCGTGAATTTGCGATTAAGAATTGGCAACATTGAGAAGAGGATAATGATTAAACGTATCAAAGTTGCGAGAGTTACCATTTTAATGGTTCTATACGGTGTTCATTAATTTTTTGCGTGACCGTTAATTGGCTGCGTCATCGGGCTAATGTATAATTTGAAGAAATGGCTCGGCTAAACGAGACCTTTAAGAGGCAGATGCACTCTCTAATAATACAATTGCACGGTGCACGAGCACCAAGCGTGCTGCGCTCATATGCGTCAATTTGAGGAGGACTCGCATAGCACTTGAGGAGGCCATACGTGACTAGAATTAGTGTCAGTCGTTGTTCTCGAATAATTCGAGATTTAAGATAATCAACTCTCCACCTCTCTTTCTCTTTCTCCTTTTCGCTTCCTCGCGACGACTCTGATTTGAAGCGATAATTTAAAATGGTTGCAACGAATCTTGGAAGATAATGATAAGTCAAATTATATTAAGCTAAAATATCTTGCATGCGCTTATTTAGTTATCACTCTGTAAGAGCACAAAGTTGACTTTTTTTTAAAATAAATGTCAAGCCGATATCGAATTAAAATAAAATACACGATGATATATTGCACATTTATTGCGATAAATTTAGCTGCGCGGACAAATATATTTGATATTTACTGAAATTAATCGCTAAGTATTAATATCTTTTATGGGCGGATAAAACTTTTTCTTTCCTTTTTTACACGGACAAAATATATTCAGACGAAATATATCTACAAAAAGCCATTATAATCATCGCACGTCGATTGCAAATCGATCCAAACGAATAAATTATCGATTATCGGGGAACCAAAAAAACGGTCCGTTTCCAGCGTTTTATCCGGCGCCAACAATCGGGAAATTAAGTGGCGATCGAATCGAGCCGACCGTGTCGAACGGATCTATCTTGAGCTCACGGAAGAGTTATATATTCTTCCTCGTATTATAATTAGTTTCTACGCCGCGGCAGAGGGCACAAGACCGATAAGAACGAAGACAGGAGGGCGCGGGGTAGGATAAAGACTTACTGAGTACGTTGAGGTAAAACGCGGGATCACAAGACGATTTCTCTATCACACGGGGTAGTATCACAGTCTGGGACTCTTTCTCGGACGCCGAGCGTTGTCGCGGGTGCAGGCACAGCAGGTGGGACGTGATCACGACGATGGCGAGGCTGCAGGTGTCTCTCTTATCATAATATACTTCGTAGACGATATCGGGCCACCGTCTCGAGGCAATGTTGATTTCCCGGTACGATCAACCCTTTCCACTGCCTGGGATGCATTGATACCGGGCGACCACGGGGTAGGGTTACCTCGCGCGAGTTTTCCCCTCGTTCTTTCTTCTTCCACCTGATGTTCTCCCGAAAGTAATCGCGATCGTTTAATCAATCGTAGGGAATCCGTCCACGTTGGATCCCCTCGCTAAAATGGCGATCAATCTTGCAGCCTGGATTCTTCGACTCTCCAGGACACCTTTGCGGGCTGCGTCGGCGTGAGACAGCACGAAGTACGAAGCGGTTAATATTCTTAGCTCGCATTACCTAGGTTTCGCGAATCACAGTCATGTACTCGTCCTCTCGGGACTCTTTCTTCTTCGTCGAGGACGTCTTCAATACGGTCGCTTTGAGATCCTTGAATTTGCTCGATCCTTGACCCGATCCTCTCATTAACGATCTTGTTACGCCTCGGGCCGAATGGTTTCGTCGAGACGTTTTACAGCTTATGGAGAAAGTCGGCGGGTGATGGTGATCGGCGATGATCGCGAGGCGCAATACCGACGCTCCTCTCCACGAGAAGATCGACGAGGCACGTCTCGACCGCTCGGTCGCCGACGAGCGTCTCGAGCTCTTCCGACTGGTAATGGTGTGGTCACGTTTCTGACAATGCCAGGCCTGATTGATCACAATTGTCACGAAGACTTGTCCCCGGCGGAGGTTCGGTACTCCGTCTCGACAGAAGATCCCTGGCGAACTAGTATAAGGTGGCTCGGTGCTCTGTCTCTCTCTTTCTCTCCCGTGCTTGCTGCCCCTTATTTAAGTGTGGTCGGGGGATAGCGACGAAGAGAAAGTAAACAGGAAGGGAGGGAGGGCGACGAGTGAGGGAAGCAATCGGTCCCAAGAAAAGCGACGTGTCTTGTCTGTGCACTCTGCTGAAGATCGAGTGCAAATCGTCTCGCATCGTCGTTCAACCAGTAATTGGTTGACGTGGGTGCTTAGAGATTGAATGTGCAACCTGTTCACGCGAGCTACAGTTTAAGATTGATTATTAGTGAATTTTAATTAATCTTTATAACTGTAATTAATCTAATAATTAATTTTAAGGTTAATTTAATTAATATTAAGATCAATTTATAACTGATACTTCTCTTTTATTGATGCATATAAAAATAAGCGAAAGAAATAAATAAAATAGACACGAACAGCTATCATAGGAAAATCTAATATCTTTTCTTCAAAGGTCTTTTTACTAAGATAAGAATAATAACGAGTCCATACAAAAGAGATAGTCGCAAATTACCTTCCCTTCATGCGATTCATTTGAAAACAATTTTTTTTATATTTTGATAGAAATAAAAAAATGATATACTGCTGAAATTGCATTTTATTTTAAATTTTAACATTTGTTATTATATCAGTTTTCGCGCTTTGCCGATATTGATTAAAGAATAAGCAGTTCGTCGAATTATGCGATGACGGTTTTTATCTTGTTTTCTTGCAAAGGTATCGAAATTATCGCGAAATTATTAACATATCAAACTTGCACTTTAGCTCTACTTTGTACGAATCAGTCGATTGAAGTCCAAGTGTCGCGAAGTGGGATCTGTCTGCGATCGATATCGGATTTGGAAAATCCAGTAGCTCTAGATGGAAAGCTATATTCGCGACTGAAGCGAAATTTCCCGCGTTAGGCACCAGTTTGACAGACTTATTCGATGCTATTGCACTCATATGTCGTGTATACGAATTAATTTCTGCTGCCCTGTCCGCGCGTCGGTTTCTCTCTTGCGGCCGGCGAGTCGCGACGACGAGGTCTGCGAACGATCGCCTTCAAATTGAATGACCTCGGAAGGTCGTGCACGAAGTGCAGAGACATGCGAGAGAGATACACGGCCGGCCAGTCGGCGGAGTTTTTCGTTCTTTTTTTTTCGTCCTGGCATTCTTCCAGTCGCCGCAGACGACCAATTGCGGTCTAGACAGTTGTCTGCGAACGTGTGCCACAGTCAGACTGTACGGATGTACTCTCGGCGTGCACTCTTCCCGGGTACGACGACGATAGCGATCGCCGTCGTCCGCGGCATAAGCGCAGGCAGAGATGCCTGCGTTGCCCGCATTGTTCTCGCGTAGCGTAAGTTCCGCGCGCGTAAAACGTTCGCACCTTTCGCATAATCGTTATATGTAAGTCGCGAGACGCTTAATGCCGAGCTAAGAATTATAAGCATCTCTCTGCGATCGAGATGCAGGTACCGTTGAAAACGCAGCCTATATTACTGCGACGAAGTGTGGGGGATAAACATTTATCCATGCATATCCCTGAAGTTCAATTTACGGTTGATTTATGTTTATTTTTCATGACTATAGCGTAGCACATAAGCTATAGAATGCGGCTAATGCGATGGAAACGAGCAAAGACTGCCACGAATGAACACACGAGTCTGCAAACGGTTGGAATCTTTCGAAATATATGAAATCTTTTGAACACTTTTATAGCAACCAGTGTTCCTACCGAGACTTCACTACTCGTAACGATCTCGATCTACGAATGTGCCGGGCAGATGCTACCTCCCCTTAAACGATCACAAGTCCTGCAATTGAGTCGGCGGAGCTGTGCGCGGACAATTGTCCTCGTGAGTGGAAAGTACTTGCTGTCCTACTTCCATCGGTCAGCCCTAATGGGACCCATTACTGGGCACGTGATCAGAAACCAGCGATTTTCTTGCGCGGGAGTAAAAATCTCGCGAGTCTCCGAAACAATAACGCGATCTCCCTGACACTCGACGAGCTTGCGTGCCGATAATCTGTATCCAACCAAAAAATGTTACCATATTGCAATTTTTGCATTTAATTTTCTCAAAATATAAATACGTAAACGTTGTCATTTCAGAATAATAATAAACTATATATCGGTGAGAGATTAAAGTAATATTTTAATTAAATTTATTGTTATTATTATAGGAAAATATGTATCACGATCGACATTTGTGCACTTATCACGAATGGCATTTGTGCTTGGCAATATTCGGTGCTTCGACCTTTGTATTTCCTTATTTTTGAGACCTTAACGATTCGAACGACACGATCGTTGATCTGTGAGCCGTCGTTCCCTAGCCGCGCCGCGAGAATCGGCAGCAATTACAATAAATTTGTCTCACGGTATATCTTCGACTTTATTTCGTTCCTAATAATTTCTCCTACATTATCATTATTTAATTATCATTATTTAATTACATACTATATTATAGCCTTGAATAAAATGTAATTAACTATATTACAAGGAAATACTGTGGAAAAGATCTGGAAGATTGTAAATCAACTGTGCCGGGTTAATATTGCATGGCGCAACATACCGGCGAAAGAATTGAAGAAAGTCGCGTTTATTAGATCGAGAAGTTAAAAAGCATTTCGCGAGCCTTTTTCCAAGAAATGAACTCGGATGTGTAGGGACGTGATCTAGCGATAAGTTAATCGTAAGGCATTGCGGTAATACGAAGAATCTTCAGGTATAGCGCGCGGGCGGCTCGCGTGACGTTACTCATTCGCCACCCCGGTTTATCCACGACAGTCGGAGTTTTTTCCACGGCGCAGTGGAGTCCACATACCTCTTTCACTTTTTCACCCTCACTTATCTAACGTAACTTCAAGCTGTTTCATTCACCGTATATAACTGATATCTTTACGAAGTATCAGATCGGAATCATACCACTAACGACCTGCGCCCGCGCGCGATGAATTATCATTGAAAACATGTATCTATTTTATATCCAGTTTCATTATTAATTTATATTACCTTTTAGAATTTACTGACGATTTCAATTATAGAATCTCTTGACATTATCTCTCTTGAAATGATAATACATCTCTCTTTCGTAATGAGATGTCTGGAAACTCGTAAAGTAGGCTCGATTGACATATTATTTTGAAGTGAATTAGACAGCCTTTGTTTGCCATTTTTATTTGCCATCTTTATTTGCCTTCTTTATTTGCCGTCTTTATTTCGTTATTATTTTTACGACTGCGTCCACGTCAAGACCGTTATATATAAACGTTATATATAAACTTGGGAGTATAACAGCCTGTTTAGAAATCTTCTCGAAATATATGACATTAGGGGAGCTTTACGAAAAATACCTTATTTCGCACGCCTGATTAATCGTGATTACGACGAGGAATGGAGAAAAAAATACCGAGACACCTTATATGACGCGGTCAACGATCGTGATCGATAAAGGCTAACGTGGGCTTTTACCTGTGACATTAGCCTCGTACTTCTCTCTGCTTCTGATATTCGTTTGCAAGAACTCGTATGGTGCGATGCACAATATTTACCGCCTGAGCGGGCAGCTTGTATCATAAATATTGGAAAAAGTTGGCGAAGTTACTGCAATATTCACCTGCACAGACGACAAGAGTTTATCCATGTGGGAGACTATACGACACGTCGAAGCATAAAACCATTAAATGTATTACGCAATAAAAATGAACCGTAAAAGCGCGAACAACGACATTAAGTGAGCATCGGGAATAAATGCATGTTTATCAGGGATCACATTATCCACATTGAAATCTCCGATTACTTTCGCAAAAACGACGCCTGCAGGACTGTAATTATATAACACGTCGCATTTGAGTGAAAAAATTAAACCGTTGTAATTTGTAATTAGGATCGACAATGGTGAGAATGATAGATTGCTGTGAAAATTTCAAAAATCATACAAAAGCTTTAGATTCATATATTAACTGATAATTCATGATGGCAATGATTTAATAGTAAGTCACACATTGATCACATATCATCAAATTTTACCATCGTGGCATTTAGAGGATATATTTTAAATCTTGTTAAGTTAATTAAAAACTTTATTAAATTAAATTCAAGAATAATTTTGAGAATATTTATTAAAAAATTTAGAGGTTTGCTTCAAAGCAAACTATAGGAGACTTAGATCGTACGTGATTCTATAATCGCGGACGCGTATTTGCCGTTTGATTTACAATTGATTAAAGGTCGATGCGTGTGCGTGTTCTTTACGGCCGCGGAAGTGCTAAATTCGTCCCTTCTCGGTGCGTACAAAAGGTGCGGTACAAATAATGGCAAAAGGTCGGCATGGTACTTACCGTATGCGCGCGTGTCAGCGATTGTTACTCGATGATGCGTGTGCGTCTTGTGGTGGCCGAAAAGGTGGCCGCCTCCCTTATAAACACTCAGCTCGCCAGTAGTAATCCTGAGCAGCGGAGACGTGTTCATTAAGCACCGGCTTACTTGTCAACTTCCCTTAATCGCGTGGCACGCGGCTAATGCCGCTTGCATACGGAAGGGCGTGCGGTCAACCGTGAACTGCCCCCTACACCCTCATTTTGCACCCTCGCGACGTCGGCCGATTTCGGTCCACGATGCCGAGACCCCCGAAAGACCCGCCTTACGTCGCTTGTTCCACGATCGAAAACCGCGCGGCGACATCAAATTAAATGACGTGCGACTTCTTTTCTTATTTTATTAATCTAGACATTAATATCGTGACAAGTCTACCATATTTCTTCATTTAGAGATAAAATGATATATAATAAAATAACTTGAGACTTGGATGCCATATTTGAAAAAATATAGTAAAATGATACTTAAAAAAAACGTGATATAAAACATTTAAACTGATTTTTTTTTTGCAGTAGAGAGCCAAAAAAGCTTTTGCAAATTGTTTAATAATTTCAAGATTTTTGGTCTTTTATCCGTATCTGTTTTAAAGTTCAAAAAATTTTTTATGTAGTGCAGTATATAAAGCTTTATACGAATTATAATTT